TTCATATTTTCTTAATGTAAAAGACATCTGTACTAACGTAATAACTATTAATATTTTGTTAATGAAAAAGACATATATACACACTTGAAATTTGTAGAACCCCCCCTAGAACCCCCCCCCCCCCCCCGCGGTAGGTTAACCAGCAAAGTTTTTTCCGGGCATCTCTTTGGGGGTGCTACCCCCCCTCCGAACGAGATGGAATTTATAGAGTAAACATATACTTAACTAGTGTCCGCTCCCCCCCCCTTTGGAAAATGTAGACCGCCCCCCCCCCCCTCCGAAAAGTGCCCCCCCCCGGAGAAAAAAGTCTGGTAGAAACACTGTTAGTCAGCCCCCACCACATCACCGCTGCCATTTATATCCGCTACGCGCGCATTATTCTTTTCCGAATAGGTTGCTATAGTAACGGATACTATCCACAAAATCTCACCTGTGGTGTTGCTAATACCTGCGGTGGGGGTAGGCGAAAGTTGATAGCGTGATATATAGGCCTAAATAAAATTGTATGTTTGCCTAAGCGCCTAACATATATAGGATAAACATAACGTCATACGCGGTCTTTTCAAACTGCTCGAGAAATCAAACTGATGAAGAACCACAACTCGGAATATACTCTTAACTCTTCAGTACACAGTAAACCTTTTTTGTTATGTCTAAAACTGACTAACACATCATAAAGCGAGGATGTACGGGGTTTGGGGTGGGTGGGGTGGGGGGGGGGGGGGGGTCAGTCAATCTTGATGCGCTACATGGAGTTAACGAGTCTACTAAATGAGAATGTTGAATCGTTATGTTTTATTCAACAAAATCTTTTTTTTTTCAACAAAAATTGATGGGTACCATGTGGTTAGGATAACATTCAGGTGAGTGTGTGATAAAATTTGTGACGTCATATTTGAGCGGGTAGGTGGGGGGGGGGGAAGTTTGGCTCTTTGTAAACTACGTATGAGGATGTAGAGCGGGGGGGGGGGGGTGTGTGGATTAAAATTGGCTAAACACTTTATTTGTTGACGAAACTTAATCCAAGATTATTACATTAAATAATCTGGGTGATTTTAAAGTAAATAAACGCCGCACATTTTTTAATTAAAGTAAACAAAATTAAATCTGCGTCTTAATTAGGCAAGATTAGAACTTCCCTACTTAAATTAAAACGGATTACGTCTAATTTTAATCTCACTTAGCGTTTTCTTATAAACAAAGCACCGTTAAAAAAAAACTGCTCTAAATGAGGTACGATTAAAATGTCTTCGTTTTTTTCCCTTCCAGGTTTCGTGAAATGAGCTCGCTGATAAACAAATCTGCGTCATCAGTCTGTTTCAAGTCAGGCTAAATTTAGCAACACGAGATTACCAAAATAACTTGGTGGAGATTTATATTTATGTATGTTCCTAGTTTAAATTAGAAAATTGAATACAATTTGGCACACAAGACAAGCAGACAAAAAACTGTATTGTGTTAGTTTAGGAAATATTATTTAAGCTTATAAATCTTAGAAACTAAGTTACAGGATTATGGTTAGGTGTATAGGGTTATCTACAAATAACGTCACACTTTTTCGGAAGATTTTTTTTACCTCATCCCCCTCATCACCATCACACAACGTCACAAGAAGCCAGCCCCAACCCCCCTGTCATGTGACGTCACACCTCAGCCTACCCAACCCCTCAAAATTACAATTTATTTTTTTTTAAAAATTCTTTCACACATATAGACTGAGATTAGTCAATGTAGTGTATATTAATCAGTTTCTGATACAATTTATAAAAACAGCAAAATGACGGTTGAATTTCAGCTCTTAACATTATTTAAAAAAAAATACAACAGTCCCTCATTTATGGACGACCCCCTAAGCTCATGAATTTTATTATGTAGGATGAGCTTAGCCTGAGACAGCTAGTCGTCCATAAGTCAACCTATTTCTGATTGGTTAAGCTTTGTGATGTCCGCCATTTTTTTTTTATATCTGACCATATTCGAATTTTTTAAAGCCAACTTTTAGATTTCCAGCCATTTCATCCTCAGTGCGTAGTTATGACAAAAGAATTAATATCTTAATGTATTCGATACGGCTAAGTGGGCTGTTTTTATATTATAGATACCTCTGAAGGAATACTCATTCCATTTTATATTATCGATACCAACTTTATCTTATATCTTAGCGAAACATCGCGTTAAGTTTTACTCACGAGATCCTTCTTCGAGTACTTAAATTAAGGCATTAAACCTTAAACGTCTTAAAATGAGTTATAATCTCTTTTCAAACTATTTTTAACAACAAGGATAACAATTTAATCGGGGTATTTAATCAGGATGTGAGTAAATGCATTGGTAGTTGTCAGGGCAGTGGTGACGGTGGACCCAAACTCGTCAATGGCGATAGGGATAAGTTGTAGCGCTTATTATTGATAGAAACACGGAAAGTAAAATCGATTTACGAATGATGGTAAGGTTTTTTTCTGCTTTACATATGTGGATATTTGATTTGATTAACAAGCTAAACCAAAGCAGGTTAAAAATAAATCAGCGCCGAATGTACTCATGTTAAACTTACATTAATGAGTCTTGAACAATTTAAATCACATACAAATTTTAAAACACGTAAGCTGTTTATATTTCCTTGACGACTGATGAAACAAAGATATCGCTTTCGTTTTAAAAAAACCACACTAACTAATGTGTATATGACGGCAAACCAAACCCGAATACTTTGAATTCGAATCCGGGTTTAGTCCATTAAATGTCCTAGAGTCCACCCAGCTCTAATGGGTACCTAACTCAGGTTAAGGAAAGTAAAGGTGGCTGAGCATAGTGCTGACCATAATTATCGCTTCATACAAACAAGTAAACATACAAGTAAAAATACATCCCTTTAAAAGAAAACTTTACCATAAAAAAAATTAATGCGCATAGGAATACCACCGATTAATTAAATTGTATGTTTTAAACCAGAGTCTAATAACGGCCCAACAATAAAGTTGCCTAAACAGGAATATCAAGGTGCAAGTAGAAAACACGTAACAAATAATCAGAGGCGTAGCGACCCTTCCCGGCGCCCGGGAACAAACTTTTCGATTTGCACCCCCCCTCGAGTTTTCGATTTGCACCCCTCCCCCCTCAAACTTTTGATTTGCACCCCCCCCCTCGAGTTTTCGATTTGCACACCCCCCTCAAACTTTCGATTTGCACCCCCCTCAACCTTTCAATTTTTTTTCCAACCCATTTTGGCGCCCCCTAAGGTCGGCGCCCGAGGACATATGTCCCCCCCCCCCGCCCCCCCCTCGCTACGCTACTGCAAATAATAATTGGTATTATCAATGACATGACTCACTTCATTAAATATAAGCACAACAGCCTCAATCGTACAAATTGCCATATCCTATATTCTAGCTTTGATACTTAACATTACCATTTAATGCTAGGGCAAAAACCTCATGTACACACTTTTAATTAAAACTCATTATTGTACTTTAGGATGATACATGATCACTGTATACCTTCTAAAACATTGTTTTGAAATTACGATACGGCTTATGATCGGCCTCTCGTTGCTAATTAGTAAAGCATGCTGAATCAATTAATTAATCATCTAAAAGTGTACAGCATGGTGTGCACAGATTAGTGAAACAAGAGCTTTCATTTATCCTCAACTACTCGCCCTTGTGTGTGCACGTAGCGTGTTGTGCACTAACAACACACTGTGGGACACACCCTGTGTGTGATACGTTGTATTCCACGGGGTTTAGGTTATATGTGATACACTGAACCACAGGGTTTAGGCTACATGTGATACACTGAACCACGGGGTTTAGGCTACATGTGATACATTGAACCACGAGGTTTAGGCTACATGTGATACACTGAACCACGGGGTTTAGGCTACAAGTGATATACTGAACCACGGGGTTTAGGCTACAAGTGATATACTGAACCACGGGGTTTAGGCTACAAGTGATACACAGAACCACGGGGTTTAGGCTACAAGTGATACACAGAACCATGGGGTTTAGGCTACAAGTGATATACTGAACCACGGGGTTTAGGCTACAAGTGATACACAGAACCACGGGGTTTAGGCTACAAGTGATACACAGAACCACGGGGTTTAGGCTACAAGTGATACACAGAACCACGGGGTTTAGGCTACAAGTGATACACAGAACCACGAGGTTTAGGCTACATGTTGTACATTGAAACACAAGTTTATGATATATGCAACACACTGAACCACGGGGTTTAGGCTATATGTAATACACTGAACCACAGGGTTTAGGCTATATGTAAAACACTGAACCACGGTATTAAAACTACAGATTATATACTGAATTACAAATCAGTGATATGAGATATATTGAACCACGGGGTTTAGGCTATATGTGATACACTGAACCACCGGGTTTAGGCTACATGTTATATACTGAACCACTGGTTTATGTTTCATGTGATACACTAAACCACGGAGTTTATCATACTGAAACATCTTAAACCTGTAAGTTGTCACAATTAGGTTAGCCGTACCTCACTATACGATTGTCTACTATTGATAAGAAACAATCCCTATATTAAACCAAACACCTTACTTAAGCTAAAATCCTGACCGTAACTTTTAATTATCCATACACACTAATTAATTTCCTGAATCTCGACCTACTTTTTAACACTCAGTTGAAGTATAACGAAACATACATAATCACACTTTTTTAAAACACATTGCCTTGCTTGGACTCAATAATTGTGTTAGCTTTAACTAACACTGTGTCACATTGAGTTCGCATTATATAGTTACAGAAAATAAGCGAAATGAAATCTAAACAAAATAAAACTTAGCTCACGATACTGATGTTCCGCTTATTTATTGATATTTTTATTCATTGTCTTAACCGTTATCATATCGCATATAGATTACTACCTACCAAGTAAACCTGTATAGAAGAATTATTAGTTTTATGTACTGATGAAAAAGAAACACACGGTGTCTTTCTTTAGTAAACACAACTTACATCTTCCAAAGAATAAGCCTAAGCACACAACACATCACATTTCACACATGTGTAACGTTGATTGTTTTACAACACCCGTCGTTGCGAACACTTGCAATAAAACACCAAATTTCAATGGAAAAATGTTGCATTCACGTTGAAAACAAAAACACAACCGACTCGCCGTGATCCAAGAATGAGAAAACAGATTAGAGAAATATTTTGTTTTTTTAAATCGGGGAGGGAAAAAAAATATTACACGGCCTAGAGTTTTCTGCCCTTTGGTCAGGCCGTTACCTCCCCTTGCCGCTGTTTTGCAGGTAGGTTCGGGATGCACTTGAAGAAACGTTCGACTTCCTGTACGGAGCATGCGCACTGCTCTCCCCTGGGCGTGTTTTTTTTTTACACGTTCATTGCGGCTAGCACACATAGATGTTGGGGAGGGGTGAGTGTGGGTGTAGTGGGCGTGTGTGTGGGGAGGGGTGGAATTCACGAGCACGCTGTCATTAAAGTAATATAAGCATAATGGATACCCACACACATATTCTGTGTTTAGAGGGGTACACATACACATGGTATCCACGTAAGTTCATTGTAATACCGCGTTTACACTTGCGACATGTATACTATACATTTCTAGAAAAAAAAACTTCGCAATAAGTGAGTAGGCTCCCCTATTATCTTAGGCCCTATAGCGAAGTTTTTTTTTCCTAGAAATGTATATTATACTTGTCGCAAGTGTAAACGCGGTATAACACAGACAAACGTTAGCACACCATGCACACGTAACGATTAAAGATATAACCTACTATTTAATACACACAAAACATACGTACATAACAGAAAGCCTCATGTAAAGATACATATCCGATATCTACGTAACAAATACACATTTAACTGGCAACTACCTTACCTAACCAATACAAGAAAACCGATATTCATAAACCGTACACTCATTAAGAACGCACACGAGATATTCATATAAACTTGCAACAGATACACATATACTAATATTGTGTGTTAAAACATTGCAGGAAATTTGTAAGCTGACTTTTTCGTAACGACCACAACACAAGATGCATTTATTACACTTTTAAATTTGCTAAACACCAAATCAAACAATGTGAAGTATCCAACGCCCCCCATATTTTCCTGACACCATGAGCGCCCTGGTTCTTATTGTCCCCCTGTTTTATACAGACACAACTCCCCCCCCCCCCCTGTTTCTTACATGCCCAAGATTTCTATACAGGTGGTTGAATTAAAATTCCTTGTTTCCTTTATATCACGATCTTTGTATGGTGTCCGTAATTTTTATGTATATATGTATATTGTGTTCTACGGGTGAGGCGAGGTGGCCTAAGCGAGTTCGAAACCGGATTCAGGTCAATAGAACTTCCCTGAGTCCACCCAGCTCTGATGGGTACCTAACTCACGGCAGGGAAAGTAAAGACGGCTGGGCATAGTGCTGACAACTATCCCTTCATATGTCGAGATCACAAATATAGCTGAATTCGAATTCAATTGCCGGGAGACCTTCAGATTCTAAAAGAAAACTTAAACTATTTTCTACGTATATTCTCTTTGTGCCCATCAATATCTTCGGTAGATATTTTGTGACGACAGTTTATATTCATACCTAAACATATATGTATATATATATATATATATATATATATATATATATATATATATATATATATATATATATATATATATATATATATATATATATATATAGTTTAGGTTGGTTCATTATCCAACCAAATGTGATATCATAACATCAGACAGTTCAGGTGGGCTAGACAAGGTATGAATGTCCAACTGTTCCCCTACAATATCTCTTGTCGTATAGAACAAAACCAAGAGTACATTGCCGCTGGGGTCTACTAACCACTGAACTGGTAACCTTTAGTGTTTCTTTCAGACATTTTTCGGGGGGGGGGCGGACACTGTTAAAAGTATTTATTTTCTAAATAAATTACATTTTGTTAGGGGGTGGGGGGGCGAAGAGGTGCCTGGAAGAAACACTGATACCTTACTCGTACAGTGTTTTATTTTAATACATTTGTATTAAATTTAAGACATAATGTATGTAATATTGGTAGCGTATATTTTATAGCGTGCATATTTACATTACAATTGATTGTTCTTTTGTTGTTGTTTACTTCTTATAAGATGTTAATTAATATTTTTAATAAAACCAAAAATTTAAGTACTAAAGGATAAACTTACTATTGTTATTCTGATGAAGGTTTTCAGATATATACATTTAAATATTTTTTAATAATTTGGGTGATTCGATTTTAAATAGTTATTGTTAAATATTTGATTAATAATAAATTATTGTGTAATAAAAAAGATTGTTCTTAATAATTATTTTATTATTGCAAAAAACGTCTTAAATATTTTTTATATTCACATTTACATATCTCAATTATTTAATCAATATTTTTAACGTATAACATTAGCTTAATTCCCTTCTTATTTCAAATTCATACATGGGAAGTAACTTGCACATACCAGTGTAAATACAACTATATATTTCAGTGTTGTGTCTAAAATAAATTAAAACTGATGTATTTTTTTGTCTTGTGAACCATATATATATATATATATATATATATATATATATATATATATATATATATATATATATATATATATATATATATATATATATATAGAGAGAGAGAGAGAGAGAGAGAGAGAGAGAGAGTAGAGGTGAAGTGGAGGTCTACTCTTTCAGTACCTCAGCATTTTAAATCTGAGTCTTAGCTGGGTGGCTCAATGATGTTCTACTGACTTGAACCCGGACTCGAACTCGAGGCTTTCGGTTTAGCGCTCTAGCGCTCTACCTCTAGACCACGCCATCAACATGTTGTCATCCTGTAAATAGTGCCACGCGGTGCAACCCGCAGCCTCCCTCCCTCTACCCATGCTATAACATGATTACCAGGTATGTACATATGGATAGTTTATTATACACATACATGTAAACAAATTCATGTATTGTGGGACAGTGTGGTCGAATGATAGATCGTTTGACTGTTAGCCCGAACGTCTCGAGTTCGTATCTCGGATCGGACTTGCGACTTTAGGACGTCTCTGACAGATACCCGACTTACGTTGTAGAAATTTAAGGCGGCTGGGCATATTGCTGACTACACCAACCCTTCATATGCCGAGTTCATGAAATATATGAACTCTACTTTATGTGTTAAGTACAATCTGCCCAATGGATTGCTAGGTCTAAAGAAGATTCTGTATGTTCATGTCGTGATTTTTTCTAGTTAAGTGCAAATACCGGCCTAGTACTAGAGATACAAGTTTGATGTGTGAGTTTAATATAAAGCTTACAACGCGTGTTTTTTTGATAAACGTGATTTACTTAAGTGTTTAATGCGTGACTAGACATTTACATAGGAAGAAAATTAATTTTTTTTTTAAATAAAGGAAATAAGAAACAAACCCCTACCTTCAATTTTTATCGTACAACAAAGTATAAATGTGGTCCTATAATTTGTAACTAAGTTAAAATAAATGCCCAAAATTCAACTTGTATTGTACGACACAGTATTAAAAGTTACGGCCAGCAAAAGTTAAAATGTCCTCCTATACTTTTTAACCAATTGAAAGTAAAAATGTCCTACCTTCAACTTATATTTTACAGGAAATTACAAATTGTTCTACTTCATGTTATAACAAAAGTAAAAAAAAACATGCCTTACCGCTAACATATATTTTACAGTAATGTCCACTTTGTTTTGTAACAAAAGTAAAAAAATAAAATGTCCTACCTTCAACTTATACTTTACAGTAAAGTACAATATGTCCTACTTCATGTTATAACAAAAAATGTCCTACCTTCAACTTATACTTTACAGTAAAGTACAATATGTCCTACTTCATGTTATAACAAAAAATGTCCTACCTTCAACTTATACTTTACACTAAAGTACAATATGTCCTACTTCATGTTATAACAAAAAATGTCCTACCTTCAACTTATACTTTACAGTAAAGTACAATATGTCCTACTTCATGTTATAACAAAAAAATGTCCTACCTTCAACTTATAATTTACACTTAAGTACAATATGTCCTACTTCATGTTATAAAAAAATGTCCTACCTTCAACTCATATTTTATACTAAAGTACAATATATCCTACTTCATGTTATAACACAAAAAATGTCCTACCTTCAACTTATTTCGCACACACTGAAGCATCGTATACTCCTGCAATCTGTTTGCATTATGTTACGGTCCTGCTATCTTTTCTCTCTGTCTCTCTCTCTCTCTCTCTCTCTCTCTCTCCACTGGCCAGCCCTATGGTCATTTGGTCACGTGGTCCATGGTTTGCTTCTTGTAGTTGCTAACGCGAGTCTCCCCCAGCAAAGGTGTTTAGATGTTGGCAAGGCTGTCCAAAGGGACAGAACTGTGTTTTCTTATTACAATTCTAATCCAGTCTCCATTTCTTACGGTTATGTCCCCTGAAACAACATTGATAAGGAAAAGCTTGTTGTAAAACAATTATATAACACATTTATACAAATAATAAGCTTATTAAATATAATACGAATAAAGAAATAGTGTTTTCTCTAATAAAGGCATGGTCACCAAAATGTGAAATAGATTTAATAACAGACCAGTGCTACTAATGAGGAAGCAATTTCTGTTTACTTTAGTTTTTTTTAATTTATTTTTTTTTCGCACAAAACATAATAAAGTATTTAACTAGCTCTGCTAGAATGCCTGGATAACAAAATCAAATTATATAGCACTATTGCACTATTCCTACCCAATTTAGAAGCTAATTACTAAAAAACCATGTAATTCAAGTCAAATTAATCCACACTGACACATAAGAAAATGTCTTCTGAATAAAATAAAATAAATAAAATTGAAAATATTCGAATAAAAATGTGCACTTCGGTAGTGGAGAGCATGGAACTACTGCCACATCACACTTGTGGAGCTGGGCCTGGTACCCAAGCAACGGTTAGGGGTCATCCATAAATGACGTCACACTCGTAGGGGGAGGGGGGGGGTCCGTAATTTTGTGACGATGTGTGATGAGGGGGAGGGGGGGGGGGGTTCAGATGTTGCGACGTCACATTTTTGCATTATAAAAAAGCAATGTTAGAAAACGAATTTTAGACGTTATTTCGCTTTTTAGATAACTGTTTTAATAAACTGTAATAGTTTAGACAATATTTTGGAAAAATATCGATGTTTAAAAAAATTCAACTGCAATTTTGAGGGGGGTTATAGGTTGAGGTGTGACGTCATTTTAGGGGGGGGGGGGGGGTCTGGCTTTTTGTGACGACGTGTGACGGAGGGGAGGGGGGGAGGTAAAAATCGTCTAAAGCGTGACGTCATGGATGACCCTTAATTATACGCTCTGCTCCGCCAATTCTTAGTGTTTTTTATCTTGTTTAACGTTGTTTTTTTTTACAGTATATTATGTGTCATGGCGTAGATAGATCTAGATAGAATTAGACTAGACTGGTAGAGGTTACTAAGGACGGTGCGAACTTGACGGTAGACGATTTGGTGCGAGAGTATTGTGCGCGTGTTCAATAAAATATTTGTGGCGTGAGTGTGACGTGAGAATGACGCGACAATGTTACCGATGAAGTAGGACGCAGCAGTGAAGACAGTTGGGGGTTAACCATTATAGGAAAATGACGTGTATTAATAGTGTTTAGTATTAGTATTTGTTAATAAAGTTAATTCTATTTTTCATACTCAAAGTTATTGATATTGTTGATTGTTGTTGTCGGAAAATGAGAGTGTACCCGTCCGTATTAATAACACAACCGGCGTACTGGGCCCACTCGTATTAATAACACCACGGGCGCTGAATGTGGGGAAGTGGTGGCGTCGAACAGGGTCAACCCCGTATTTATAAGACCACAATGGTAAGCAATGCAGTGAATCAGCTTATAAAATTTGAATGTGAGATTCGACATCCGGCACCCGTACATTTTCACGTATCGCTAAAAACCTCAACTGAGTGAGAAACTCCCTCCCACCACCACCACCATCACCCAGAAACCTGCTGTCTCCCTAATATGTATCACTAGGTTGCAACAATGCGGACAGGTACGCCAGTTCCGTATAAAATTTTTTAGGTGTAACTCCCCCCACCTCCTCCCCCAACAATTTTGCATTTTCGGTGGGCTGTCACCCCTCTCTTCCTAATCTTTTAGTATTTTAACAGTTTTGACAGTACATGTAACATTTCTTGTCATGGTGCACGACTGATGTCGACCGCACCTTTGCCTTGTGACGCAATAATTTTTACATTACGGTGCAGTACATAATAATACAGTACACTATAAATACACAATCAGGACGTAAAAAATACAGAAATTAACATTATTTAAAACTCCTCCCTCGTAAGTAGCAATCAATGTTTCTTTCAGGCATCTTTTAACAGTTGCCCTACTCCCCCCCCCCCCCCCCGAAAATGCCACCCCCCTCCCCCCGAGAAAAGAGTCTGGATGAAACACTGGTAGTAATCAAGTTCTCCACTGCCCATGTTTAACTCATTTGTAGCTCAACGGCTGACGAAGGGGCCCATTGATAATTTGTGCATAGGGGCCCGAAAATCCTAGCTACGCAACTGACATGGCGAGCCGCATCCGACATCAAGTAGCCGCATGCGGCTCGCGAATCGCAGGTTGCCGGCCCCTGGGCTAATCCTTTAAAGCACGAGATTAATTGGCCCATTGAGGGAGAGATACAACATGATCTAGGTTGATATTGGTGTCTTTTTTCTTTAACTCGAAATCAAAAAGAAAATCACCACCTAAACTTCAAATTTAACCGGAAACGAAAAAATGTCATTGAAAACGGATTTTTATCCAGAATCTGCACTTTAACCGGATTTAAGCTTGATCTACACGTAGTTACTGCACATTGATACTAAACACAGTCGAAGTCAAATCCCTAAACCTGCACCTAATCTCAAACACGTATTAAGTCGCACCCCCCCTCCACACACACACACTATAATGCACGCCTACCGTCCCATTCAACGAAATATACTTTTTATAGAAAACATATTTTACCTGTGTCCGCCCCTTTCCAAAAATTTTGGTCCACCCTCACCCCCGAAAATTTCAAGAACCCCTCCCCCATCTGGGGAGGAATAACTCTGAAAGAAACACTGGTCGCATTTGTAGCTCATACAAACTAAAGGTAGAGCCCACTTCTATAATATAGACCTGTTTCCTACTTTCAAATGATATAAATTTTACTCACGCAGTGTTCGTTTCAGGCTTTTTTCCCGGGGGGGGGGGGGGCACTTGAATTTTTGCATGGGCGAATAAATTTCGACGGGTCGGGGAAGGACGACACTGGTAAAAGTATATATGTTTTCTATAAATTATATTATGTCTTTTTTGGGAGGGGGGGGGGAATAGACGTTCTACCGTGGGGGGTTGGGAGGGGGGGGGGGGGGTAAAGGGGCTTTGCCCCTACCAGAAGAGAAACTCTTCGCGCAAAACACTTATAACATTAGACACATAATTTTGGCCGCAATGTCAGTATTTTTATTATGGAGTCTCGATGACGTCATTCATTTGAGGGCGAGGGGGGTGGGGGTCGGCATAGACGATCTACCGGGAGTGGGGCTTCACCCCTACCCGATGAGATGCATGAGAGAAGCTCTTCACGCAAAACACATTAAAGATTAGACACATTAATAAGGCCGTAATGTCTGTGTTTTTATTATAGAGTATCGATGACATCATTTCTTTTGAGGGGGAAGGGGGCTTAAACGTTTTTTAGGGAGGTAGGCTGGGGCTTCACCCCTAACCGAATAATTGCATGAAAGAAACTCTGCAAGCAAACCACTTTTAAGATTAGACAAAATTGGCTTTTTTTAATTCAATGTTTACTCGAGAATCAATGACGTCATATTACTGTGTGTACTCTCCGGCTTGATACTATTTTCTATTATATGCTCAATGTGACGTCATGTTTCGTTATACTAAGCAAGAACGCTCTAGAGTCTGTAGCGTTCTTGTCAGATAGATGGATAGATAGACAGACAGACAGCGAAACTATTTTTTTTTAAACTATTAGTATAAACACCTATCTATATATATAATTCTCTTCTGGGAGCCGTTAGAAAACAAGCTGCAAGCGCCTCCTTGCAGTCCCGTCTCTTTCTCTCTATCAGTATCACTACCACCCCCACCCCACCCCCACATTGTCTGGTCAGCTGTGGTCACGCTAAATGTTTACAACGCTAAATGTTTACAAACCGTAGAGCCGTAGAGCCGGGTTTCTATTAGGGGCAGATAATTTAGTTCGATTTTAAACTTACAGGAGGTAACTAAGAAATAACTAAGAGGAGGCTGCTTTCACGGGGGGGGGGGGGGGGGGGGTCGGGGTTGGGGGAAAGGGGGGTGGGGTTAGTGTTTTAAAGCAATTATTTTAAGTGGCAGCATTGGTACTGTCGAATTCACAAATTATGAATTAATGTAAAGTAGAAAATAAAACAACCTTTTTTTTTTTTTTTTTTTTTTTTATGGTTATCGATCAATTAGTCTAATGATATAATGAGAAAAGGCTGTTTAAATAATTTGGCAAAAATACCAATGACGTATTTAATCATCCCTGCATAAATTGCATACTTTGACAATTGTTGTAACAAGATTTGCCAATTTATTAGCTGATGTAGTAGTTAAAATATATGAGAATATATTTTGATTTGCAATTTTATTCAGTATTTGGGAGACACAGAGACATTTATTTTTCAAAAGAGTCCAACAATGACTAAAAGGAAACTGTTGCTTAAATTACAAAATCAAGGCAAAAGGCAGCAAATCATCTTTAATGGATTTAGGCATCCTAGAAATAACTTGAGTGATACTGTCAGTAAGCTCAAGAACCCATTCTGTTATTTCACTTGTTAGCATAACTTCTTCATCTTTTAAGACTTCAGCCATGAACTCTTTTATTGACTCAAAGTTACCTTCTATATTTTGTTTCAGTCTGTGTAATGTTTGATCTTGAGACAAAATACAGTTGATACCATGATAAAGAGCTGCTAGCTGGTGTGCCAAATACTTTAACCTAACTTGGTTAGCTACATCATGATGTATTTGTCTTGATAGAAAGAGAATATGATGGAGAGATGACACCTGGTTAAAATACTTATTCATTGAAGATTCACTGCAGACCACATCTAAAACATTCAACTGCCTTAAAAAAGCAGCTGTATGGGGAAACAATTCTGCTAATCCCAGTTGAGAAAACACCAGAAAAGCTGGTAAATGACTGCACAAATGTAGTAGCTCCTGAATGTTTTTGCCAATCAACTGGATTTTGTTTCCATATATACTTAAGACTTTTTTTTGTCCCAAATCTTGTTTGCATAAAGTATCAAGCTGCAAACTGAGCATCATCAAATCTACTTTAACATCTGACAGAGACTTTTTACAACATCTCAGTGGAGCATGTAGCATAACATCAACTTTAAAAACAGAATCATATTGACCAGGTAAAACCAAAGGTTGTTGCATTGAAACAGCCATGCTACACCTCCACATTAGGTGGTTCTCTATTAACCACACATTTATGGTTAAATCAATTTAGATCTAAATATCCTGAAATTAATTTTTATCAACCCTGTTCGAGATAAAAACAGCAGCCATTTTAAGAAAATGTTATTTAGAGAAAATAAAACAACCAACGCGGGTCGGATTGCTGCCATAGGCCGAATAACGTTTGAAAATGCCTTTTCTTAATTTAAATTTTCTTTATTGTATTTTCATTAAAGGTTTCATTATAAAATAAAAAATTAAAAAAATAAAAAGTTTAAAGTAAATTTTACATTTTTACTTTATTACGTACATATACAATAAATATATTTTTAAAAATGCAAAATTGATTGCCATTTGAATTTTGTAATTCAATTATCTTAAATTCTATTTATATTTAACGATTCTCAGTACATAGCTTTAGGTTCTTTCCCTTGGTCAAATTCAAGTTTTAAAGTGGGAATTGATATGGAAAAAAATAATAATTATACAATAGGAAAGTGCTATTAAGTTTGTATTGAGCTGTTTTATTAAAATAGCTAGCCGTCTTTACCCGTTACACTTGAATTATAGGCCTATATATTTTAATGTTATACTTGTGAGAGAAAAATATTTTATAAAAAGGTTATTGGTCAAAACGCTATTTGCTTTACTACACGTTGAACGATATTAATGACAAAGCAAAGAAATGACTAAATAGCTAAAAATTCGACACATTTAAAATAACATAGGATACCAATTTCTATTCGAGAAACAAACCACATTATAGATCTATATATGTGCATTGTTTGTCAACTCAACACCATATTAAATGCACCAGTGGCGTAGCCAGGAATTGGCCTTGGGAGGGGTTAAAAATGTTTCCATACGTATATAATCCTATATATATATATAAAGCCATATATATATATATATATATATATATATATATATATATATATATATATATATATATATATATATATATATATATGACTTTATATATATATATATGAGTCGGGGTCCATGGGAGGGGCTATACTTCCCCCCCCCCCAACCCCCCCTTGCCTACGCCACTGAAATGCACACACTAGAGAGAATTAAATAATTTCTTTAACAAACCCGGCTTTTCAGTGGTATTTATGTGGCATTAGTAATTTGTATAAGCTTAAGTCGAGAAAATTGTATACATTTTAAGTCGAGAAAATTGTATACATTTCATAGTGTACATCTTGAAAAGTATATCTAAATAAATTTTAATGAAATAGTTCATTTCTTCATATTCTAAAATTGGAAGATGACGCCATTAATGTCGTGCTTTTTCCGTAGTTTAAACATGTTGCATGTGACGTCATTTTTTTTAGGGGGGGGGGGGGGATTTTTTAACTTTTGGGTTCAGTTAAAAAGATACTATATTGCTGTATACAAATGTAATTTCTGTAATTGTCTTTAATTAGTGAGGTAGTTAACACTATCTTTTTTATAACTAATTTGATTGCTTTAAGTATTCTTGATGTAAAATGATTATTTACATAGCGAGTATAATACTGAAATTGAAAGAGAATCACAACGAAGAAGTCAATGAAATAATTATTGCATCATAGAAAGCACGTGGAATTAACTACACGTGGTACTTTCTTGAAACAGGACGACAGAACACATAGCGACTTGAACTTGTAGCAATGAGCGAAGATTTTCTTTATCCGTGTTCCCCTCCTCACCCCTACACCCCCACACCTTTCTCAACCCCGCTGTGAAAATAACAATATCTCTCGCCAACATTTTTAGTTAGGTGATATTTAGCGCACGACACACACACACACACACACACGCACACACACACGCGCACGCGCACACAGACATACAAGCAAACAGACACACATACACATGCCCACACGTACATACACACACACACTATTTCTCTCTCACACATACACTACTCTCTCACACACTCACACCTGCACATACACACACACTCTCTCATACCAACTCTCTCTCTCTCTCACACACACACACACACGCACACATACATATATATATACATACACTCCATCTCTCGCACATATATACACACATATTCTCTCTCTCTCTTACACTCGCTCACTCTCTCCCTCACACACTCACACACCCTCCTACACTTAAGCTACTCAGCTTGGCCTTGAACTGCTGACGCCAGCATCAACATGCAGAATCTAAATTAAGCCCGGCGCGCGTGCGAGGATGGGTTGCTCACGTGCGTTTGATGAAGGCATGTTATCAGAAGAAGAATTTCTACCCAGTCATTTAAATAGAACGAGCCGACCCGCTGCGTATCATACGCCGCTATTTAGTTGTTTTTTTTTTCTACTTTTCAGTAATTTATAATTTGTGAATTCGACAGTACCAATGCTGCCACTGAAAATATTTGCTTAAAAACACTAACCCCCCCCCCCCCACGTGAAAGCAGCCTTCTCTTAGTTACCTCCTCTAAGTTTAAAATCGTTTCAAACTAAATTATCTGCCCATAATAGCCGTCACTAAACCCGTCTCTATGATTGTAAAATGTAAACAGCGTGACCACAGCTCACCAGACAATGTGGGGGTGGGTGGGGGTGGGAGTGATAGTGATAGAGAGAAAGAGGAGGGGACTGCAAGGAGGCGCTTGCAGCTTGTTTTCTAACGGCTCCCAGAAGAGAATTATATATATAGATTCTTCCACGGATACTTATATTCATAGCATTGACATTTTGCCTTCTTAAAATAATATTGTCTTAGATGTTAATTAAGGGAAATAATCTATTTTATAATTAGTTTTATTGACGTTAAAGAGTACGTGTTATTGTAAATGTGAAAAAAAATATCGGTTGTTTTCTTAAAGCAATGTATCAGCAGCAGTATTACCATACTCTTATTAAAACAGGCGCTGAGGCAAAGATGCTTGACTATGTATAATACTGTAGCTGGGGAACAGGTTTGGAGGGGGTGAGGGAAGAAGTTAAGCTTACAGACGTAATATGTATATATATATATATATATATATATATATATAATATATATATATACATATATATATATATATATATATATATATATATATATTATATATATATATATATATATATATATATAGTATATATAGCTTCATAGGCTAACTAGCTATCCTCTTCTAATTTAAGAGATGTAGCTTCATACACTGGATACGTATCGGTAGGAAAACATCGAGCCCAATATATAAAAAAAATAAGATAGAAAAGAAAAATCTAAGACAAGGTACACTGCTGTACACACAAGTATGGCTTGCCACATGGAAAGGGCACTGTATGTTGGCACAACAAAGGGCAATCACAACACCGGATGTTGGTCTGTATGAACGGGGAAAAAGGGGGAGGGGCAGGGATATAAATAGCAACATTACGGAAGTTGGTGGAGGGTTGAAAGGATGTATAATTGGGGGATAGAGATAGTGCTTATATAAAGTTGGGTAACTGTAAAAAGTATTGAGGAATTGGTTATGTAAAACACGTTTGTGAGACATAAAACGAGAATCAGGGAGGTTTTTTCAAATATTCACTTGGAGAGATTTAAACATGTGAAACAGATGTTACATAAAAAATATTAAAGGATAAAACACACATAGATTATTTTTTGGAGATATACTAATGGTTCTCTAACAGATACAGATAAAATATTTTAAATATTTTGTTTAGCTAAGCCAGTAATAATAATTATAAAATTAATTTTAGATTTATGCATAAAAATAAACCGTTTCAGAACATGTCTGTTCCACTAAGCTCTTCTGTTTTTATTTTCTTATAATTGGCCATTTATTTAACCAAATGTCTAAACATCAAGACATAGTACAAACAGGAAAAACAACTTTTACGGTTAGAAAACTTGAAGCTAACTTTTTGTAGTAAATTGTCGCTTTTGGCTGCAGGTGAAACAAAGTTGACATGTTATTTTGGAGCATGATTAATTGCATATTCAACATTACCTCGCCACTACGTGTAATATATCCAAAAGTATGCTGCTAAATCAAACTAAGGGCACCAAGGGCAATAACTCTACCCTCGTCCACCCTTCCCTCGCCCATCCTTACCATAACCCTTGCTGTAGTACTTTCCCTAAGACATTAAACACCTTTTAGTAAACGACATTCGCCATTGAACTAATGAGATTGCCTGTCAATGAGATCCCCGATACGGGAATTCCTATTAAACCACTGAACTTGCCCAAAAACTATGTAACTACTGCTCATAGACAAAAAACCCCCCTTCAACCACTGAACTTGTATACCACTAAACTACTATTCCTACTACACAGACTCCCCCCCCCCCCTACACCCCTCAATCACTGAGCTTGCAACACTGTGAAACTATTGAAACGGTTAATCAGGCGGTTGTCAAACCCATACACCTGGTTAAACTTATCCAGGCCCAGTTAACAGAGATAAACCGTATGACGTATGCGTCCTAGGGCGGCTACTCTACACAAGTTATCCATTAGTTTGAGAGTTGACTCCCCTTAAAAATTTATTTCACTACGTTGCATGTGAAAAGTTATTTTTAAAACTTTTATAAATAGATCTAGATCATATCGTGACCTTTTACCCTGAGAAGCTGGAAGGCTGTGAACATTTTCAAGACCAACATTTGCAAGAAACTTTATTTACTCATAGCGTTTTTGTGTGGTGGTAATGTACGATGTGGGATAGGAAACGTCGTATATATATATATATATATATATATATATATATATATACTATATATATATATATATATATATATATATATAATATATATATATATATATATATATATATATAATATTTTATATATATATATATATATATATATATATATATGTATAAAAATATTATACTACATTATATTTCTTATTCTTCTGGAGGTACCGAACCCCACCTGTTCATATGTGCAAACCAACGAACCCTTCTTAAATAAGACGTATCGTTCACATCGACTAATTCCGATCATCAATCATATGAATTATGTGTGGGTCTTGACCTCCTCCGAACCCTAAGGCTGACTTACAGAAACCCTAGGGTTCGATTGAACACATGTTAAGAACCCCTGTTCTAGAGAACCCTCTCTTCTATAGAGCAGGTGTTAATCCCTCTGTGAGACAATAAACAGGTAACTGTTAAAC